TGTGTGTAGCTTGTTGTTTCACTTTTTATAAGCTGGCTTATTTATTGGCAATCTTTTTATTATAAGAAATTGCTTTAAGTGAACAAATAAAATGTGTTGTGACCGAATCACAAATAATCTTTTGCAAACTCTGCTGTTCCCTTCGTCTCTACGGAGCATTTTAGCCTGTTATTGTTTTGGTTTTCTAGCCAGAACTTTCAATTTTCTCTCTCTGCTCTAATCAGGGTCGCTTCCAACTGTGGATAAATGGTGCTAGCATAAAAAAAACCCACATCGCTTGCTACCTGCCCAGCACAAAACGTCTCAGTTACAGTATCAACTAACTCGTGGACACAGTGAAGCATTTAGCAGCTGAATAGCCAGAAACCTTCACTCTTAATTTGGTGGAAAGCTAACCGAAGCTGAGCGGTAGTGAATATTCTCATCATTCTCCCATACCAACGCTATCACCTACAGATGCAGACATCACACATCGTTTTCAGCAAAATGGCCTAGTCTATTAAAGTCTATTAAAGTATGTTGAATGGAATTTGACTCTGACTCAGCTGTTTCCTACTAACCATCCAAACAGCATTTGTCCACACTTCATCTTCGAAACCCCAGTGCAGCCATTTTTCTCTTAAGTCATGCCATGTAATTATTATTTATGTGCTATTAATGTTTAATATGATACTCCAGGGAAGATGGTGCCGTCATTGCCATTTCAGACCAACACAGAAACACACAGCCAAAGAGTTGGAGCATTTGCCCCACTTTTATCCTGAGACCTATCAAATGCTGCCGATGCTTTCATATCAAACATGTCATCGCCTAGGATCCATCCAGCACAGTTCCCACTGAGATCCCCCACTTTGATTGGAAATGCAAAGAATTAGTCTGCAACACATCACTGGGGATCCATCGCTTAAGGCTACGCCAAGCATGTCGCAACCGCCAGGCTCTGGGTGGATTCGGGGTCTGCTCTGATTGTTTCTCTTCTCCTGGGTCGGGTCTTTTTTCTTACCTCGTATATAGCATTTACTCAACACATTTCCAGCTGAATAAATGGATGACTTCGAGAGGGAGATGTTAGATCAGTGGATATGGCCCGCGATGTGGGCTTCTAGCAAGCCAAGAGATCATCAAAATAATCACTGTTGCCTGTGCAAACAGTGTGCAGGTGCTCAGGCACAACACAAGATGAGACAGGGCCCCCCACGCCAGCTCGCAAGGGCCAGGGAGCAGCAGGTTGCCTTGGGAACCCTCGGCTCCCTCTTTCTTGTCATTACTCCGTTGCACACTCCCCCTTTTTAATCTGCACCATGCTTTCAGTGACAACCCCCATCCCCCTTGATATATACACACAATACATGCATGCACACACTCACATATAAAGAAGCTCAAGTAAGCAGGCAGAAATATGGGTTCATACGTGCACGCACACATGCATGAACATCAGGCCGACAAAGATAAACATGCTGGTTTATCCGTCACTGAGCCGTAAACCCTGCATCAATCTGCACTCTATTTGGATAGCAGAGATTCGAAAGAGCCATTGTAAAATAGTATTCCTCTCCCTTATTCTAACAGTCATACAATACAGAACCCAGCTTTGGATCCGCTCTAATTTTGAATAGTACCCTTATCTATTCATGTATTCTTCTTCATCTGTCTTTATTTAGCGGTATATCTTTACAGTTTTTTATCTTAAGAGGCGAACCCACCCTTGTCTTTCTTGCTCCGAACCTTAGCCTTCATCGCAGCATAATCAAAGCCTCCTTGAACAACCCCCAACCCCCCACACACACACTTTAGTCAAGCCACACATTCACTTATGTATACATAATATATACAACTCTCAGGTTTTTCACCGGGCTGAGGATGTGACCTGTGTGTAGTGCACGGCTCGCTCTGATTGCCCATTCAACAACAGAGGGGAAGTGCCCTGGCTCATCACCAAGAGAAAAAATGACGCCACTAAGGCTCCTCCAGCCGAAAAAATTTTCACATAGTAAATCTTCATGAAATAATGAACAGCAACCTGTTATTGTTCCAAGGTGTGTCTGTAAATCAAACCAGGAGTGCTAAAGATTTGGACAAAGTGTGTTTTTATTTTGATAGAAATGTTCCTTTTATGTGTTGTGAATGTAGGCTTTGGAAATGGTGGTGATATATCAGCGCCCTCCTGCAGCCTTCGGTATGATGTGTTTTATTAAGGTGAATTTGGGGCTTGATTAAATGTGGTTTTGCCTGCAGTATATCAAGACATATTGAAAGTATTTATGATGCTTGGCTCCAGGCGCAGGTCTTAAGACTGGAACTCTACTGCCTCTCAGTGGGCAGTGGCTGAGTCAGAGAGACTTATGATCTCACATCTGGAACTGAGAACAGACTTGATGAGATACAAGCCTACTAAAAATGGAAAGAAAAAAATGAATGAGAAGAATTGGTTGATTATGGGCAGAAAAAGCATTTTTAAAGTCTACACAATTACATCACTAAACAAGTAGATCAACAGAAAGAGAAACAGAAATGACAATTATTTAGATAATCAATTACTATGATTGATTCTTTAGGTTGATTTTGGTTCCCCCAATTCTCTGGTTCCAACTTTTCCAATTTAAGCTTTTACGTCTTGTTCTTCTTTAATCTGATATGAAACTGAATGTCTTTTCTATGACTGTTCGACAAAAAATGCTGTGTGAAGTTGAATTTGGGCTCTGTGATATTGAAATGGGTATATTTAGCTTTCTTTCTTGTTTTTGGATCAAACTATTAATCAAATATTCAATGAACTAGTTGCCAGTATAATGAAATAATAATTAGTTGCAGCTCTTAGATTTTCTTTTAAGTCTCTTTAGAAGGACCACGCTGTGTTTTAAGAGCATACATTTCTCACCACAAGACTAAAATTGCCCTTTCATCTTAATCATAACTTGACAACCTCCTTTTTCCCAAATAATTGTTTTGAAGTAATGAAAGAAGGCTTCACAGTTTCCAGTAAACACTTCGGAATCTTTTTATGTACAGGCGAAGTCAATAAAAATAGATTTATTTCCCAAAGTTGGTCATATTTCATAGTGGCAGTGCTACTGATGAGGTGTGGTTACCTTCATTTAGTCTCACAAACCTCCTGTATGGTTGTTTCTCTGGGAGGTGCCAGCTATAGTCTAAACTCATTCAGGGAGTTGGCTGGGTCAACACACGAGCCTCCTGGTTATCTGGCTGACACTGAACACACACCCCGGCAAATACACAATCATACACATCAAGTCATTTTGGGTCATGGGAACGCGACAGTGAGCTCACACTGTGTTTATTCTGTATGGTTTCCTATTTGAATGTGTCCTTCTCACGGGACTGTTAATGGCTTCCCCTTTCCCAGGGCAAGGCAGTGCCATCAGACCTTATCCAGGTCATGCCAGTGGAGCTGGAGGTACCAGGAAGAATGAAGTAAATCCCGGACACTGTGTCAGCGTCAAGGACTCCTGCTCCAAAGGTTTATCCAAGAATTGAATTAGCCGACTTGCCAGGAGAAATATGAGCTGTCATTTCTGAGAAACACCTTGTTGGGGAAGGATTTTATGACGTGTTGTTGTGTGCACTTGTACTTTTCTTCTGTGTCTTGAAGTACATGGTTTTAGGGAATCTAAACTCAACCAGCAACTACCTCTATTTGTAGTCGTGTCAGGTTTGGCTCTCTTCTGATGGCAGATAAATGGCGAATGATTTTTGTGTAGAATTCACTTCATAGCCTGCTGAGGATTTATTGACTCTGGTTTGCTGCGGCGAGATGTCTAATCACTTTAAAAGTCTAGCCCGAAGGTAAATGGATGTATCCTAGCAGAGAGCTGCAGGGGGAATAATAGACCCTCTAAAAGAATGCAAATGTGACATTTTGGGTTGAATAATTTTCAGTGGTCTGCACAAATGTTGACATTTTGTGAAGTGATCCAACTTCAGAGACTGACAGTAAGCTGTGCTCATACTCTGCCTCATGTTTCAACTGGAAACTTCTAACATATCAACTCCAACTTGTGGAATACAAATTAGGAGACATGTAGATCTTTGTAGAGGAGCTTCTCACCACATGAGGGCGCTATTGTTAGTTGATTCTTAAACAGAGGACACTACAGCTTCTAGCAACAGATGTAACAAAACTTAAAAAGTAAACGTTTTTATATAACCAAGTGCAGTACTCATCACTTCATAATTAATGAGTAAAAGTCTTGGAAGCGTAAATAAGAATAGTCCAATTTACGGAGGAGGTCACAAGATTTTTGTTTGGATTGATTCATTCTTCATAGACACAAATATCTGATCACATAGCTCAGCACATGGGATTTCTTATCACTAAGAGCCCTTTAGGGGCTTTTAGTGATAATAATTGCTGCATAAAGACATTATAATGGCCTTAGAAACCATAGATTAGAATATCTCACAGCCTCTAGCTTCTAGCAAATGGATTCAAATGTTAACCCCAATATCCACAGCTGCCACTAGGGTTAAGATGAGCCTGAGGTTGAAATTGGAGTGAAATGAAACATGATAGGTACTTTAAATAGAGATACAAAAAAACTGCCACTGGTATCTGATTAAAGCCAATGTTTAGTATGGACTACATTAAGGTTGGTATTGATCTGACTGCACCTGGATCGATTTGTTCACTGGGGGTAATATCCCTGCCCTGTGCTAAAAGTAAAGGTCATACCCCCTCCTGCCATCCTTCTATTTTTTATCTTCACCTGTCTCAACCCATATGACTTCATTTTGGTCTGGTTCAGATTGCATCTTATTATTTGCAGCACGCCTCTTATCTTCCCCAGAACGTAATCCTGAGGCCACTGAGAGGAACATCGTTATCATTGATTTGGCTGGCCACATAATC